AAATACATGCTCATTTTTTTGTGTATAACATTTTGCAATCAACAGATATCATAACATGTCATGTTTTCAAGTATCACACCTGCCTGTCTGTGTAATTACATAATGTGACAGAGACCGAACTCGGGCCATAAATCGATGCATTTTGTTTATGGTGTATAGCCTGATTGGTGTTAAGTTCAAATTGCATCAGTGATAGCAGCTGTGTATTGAATATTGTCATTAGCAGACAGGCAGGCAGACACACAGGTGTCAATAAAACAAGATATTGAGTTTTGTCTGTGACAACGACATATCTATATCACAGTTAGAAATTCTGTCAATGCTAAATAATGACATTGCTTTTAAGTATCGAACTGAGAAAGTGTCTCGGTAAGAAGAACGTGTGGTGAAATAGACAAATGAAATTATATAAACAGTTAATTTACTGTCATAACATATAAAAAAGCTCGCGCCTGTGAGATATCAACAAAACATTAGAAAAATAGCTCACACCAAAGCCTTCACCGAGTATTCACCCGACAACCCGCTTCCAAGCTGCGCGAACCTATTTACTTGCGCACGTGCTATGAGCGCAGCCCAGCTGTTGAAACCCGTTTTCCCCAGAAAAGTCTGGGGAAAATTAGTGAAACGTTTGAACTCCGATTTCGCGCGATTTTTTTCATAGCGTTATTTTTCAACTTTATAAGTTGAATTTGCATTTTTGACGATTTGTTTCGGTATGTCCATACCGAAAGGTATCAGAATCTGCAAAGTTGTGTTTTACGTTGCATGTGACCTTCAAATAACAAATATCACTTTAAGAAACATCTACCTAATGTAGACCGAGGGAATAAATTTTGAAACATGCCCTAAAATGCGTTTTTACTGATGAAAATGCCAAAAAATAAGCGGTAGTGGGTCGTTATTTGATACAAACATTAACTGTCTGTGTTACGTCATCAGCATGCACGGTATCGACAGGTGAAATTGACACCTGAGCACAAGCTCGGGCGAGGGGTCATCTCAATAGATGTTTTCTTCAAAATGTTGAATATGTGTACGTATAGTATGCGTATTGGTTATGTAAGGGATCATTTGTGTATGTGTTTGTTGTGAAAAAAACATTCGAATTACTGTACATTGGAAAGAATCCTATTACTTGTGTTATCTTATCGATTGATTGTAGAAATGTGCAACGTTTTAATAAATGTTTTGCATGTGAACAGTATATGTCATCGCAAAAATATGGATGTAATTCGGTCAGTTTCATCTAGTTGTGAACAGTGGCCAAAGATTTAACGAAGTCACTGGTGTAGCTTATTTTGGATTTAAATATTCTTCTTCTCCTAAAGTTTGTAGACCGCCCGTCTAAGTACTCCCTTGTCAAAGTTGTCAAGGATGGTTTTACGTCCCGGTTTTGCTTTTGAGACGGTCCCTGTCTTGTCTGATTTGTTTACAATATTGTAAACTTGTCGGTAAGACATACCAACAGCTCTACAAGTTCTGTAATAAACCATTTCTATACTAATGAAAGGTTTTCCTCTGTCTTTTTCAAGCACAAAAACTTATAAACCTTTGCAACAATCGACTGCAAATAGTTGGCCATTGTGGACGCTGTGATAAAGATGTGCATGCATGACGGGAAACTTATTTATCAAGACTTAGCATTTATATTAATATTTCTTCAAAAAAGAAACGATAATTTAGTAAAGTAACACAAACATTCAACATTTATTTGTTTAGGAAAAACGTTAATTTATATTTTTACACCACCTGTATTATTAGCATAAATGTAAAGACTATTTCAGATTTCTGTTGTTGAACTCTGACTGACTGAGTTTGGTTTTACGCCGCGTTTAGCAATATTCCAGCAATATCACGTCTGGGGACACCAGAAATGGGCTTAACACATTGTGCCCATGTGGGGAATCGAACCCGGGGTCTTCGGCGTGACAAGCCAACGCTTTAACCACTAGGCTACCCCACCGCCCCTGTTGAACTCTGAAAAAATCTTAAGTTGTTGTTTTGGTACCAAATTCTCTCCTGTACTCTGCCCTTTAAATGCATGGGAATGTTAAATCAATTGAAATAAAAATTAGGTACACTATAGGTGAGTTGATATATTGACAACAGAGTACATTTATCACCTTTCTAAAGATATCAAGGCTAAAAAGCATTTTTCTAGCATTTCCGACAGTACTTTAGTGGTCAGTATGAGGTATTGCCACACTCAGCAATATTACAGCTATATGGTGACTGTAAATAATCAAGTCTGGACCAGACAATCCAAGTGATCAACAGCATGAGCATTATCTACGCAAAATGGAATACGATGACATGTGTCAACTAAGTCAGGAAGCCGACCACCCGATCATGTGGGTCACCTCTTACGACTGACTGACTGACTGACTGACTGAGTTTGGTTTTACGCTGCTTTTAGCAATATTCCAGCAACATCACGGTGGGGGACACCAGAAATGGGCTTCACACATTGTACCCATGTGGGGATTCGAAACCGGGTCTTCGGCATGATGAGCCAACGCTTTAACCAATAGGCTACCCCACCGCCCTCTTACGACAAGCATGGGTTACTTAAGACCAATTCTAACCCCGATCTGCATGGGTCAGATGAAGTATTAAAGCCACTTCAAAAACAAAACAAATCAATATATTCAAATTTTTTTATTCCTTTTTAGAAATAAATGCAGCATTGATGAAATAAAATGTTTTATGCATAACCAATCAACGCTTCTATAACCTCTTCATCTGTAACACAAACAGAATACCAAATTCATGTTATGGAAACCTTTAGCTGACATCCTACATAATACATGTACTATGAAAACAAATTACAATTGGACTTTAAAGTATTTAACCAAAGTACTTCAAAATTAAATTCAAAACAGCACAGAATGAGTGTACAAGTTCACACATCTTCTTGAAAATGGGTAGCTTTCCTGTGGACAGCCATACCATGATAGGTCTTCAGCAAGCCATCTAGCAAGATGGTAGAACAGAGTGAGTGAGTTTAGTTTTACACTGCACTCAGCAATATTCCAGCTATATGGCAGCAGTCTGTAAATAATCGTGTCTGACCCAGACAATCAAGTGATCAACAGCATGAGCAACAAGGCCAATAAAGGCCAAAATACAAATGTACTCCTATCTAATTGTTGTCCTAACCGTACATATCTCTCAATCTCGACACTGTACATGCATTCCTGTCTCATTAAAGGTCAGGCCACTATAAAACAGTATTTCATTATGACATGGCACTGGAGGTGACCAAGGTAGCATAGAACTTTGGCTTAAGGTATTGGTGCTATGTGGTATTGACATACCAAGAAACATACTGGGGTCGGATCTTGATCCATGGCAACAATATCCTGACACATCTAAGGGACATTACTCTGCACATCAAATTGTAGCACCTCAGTGTTGAGTTGAGTATGGTTTTTGCCGCTTTTAGCAATATTCCAGCAATATCACGGCAGGGGACACCAGAAATGGGCTTCACACATTGTACCCACATGGAAAATTGAACCCCAGTCTTCAGTGGTGAACGAACGCTTTAACCATCAGGCTAACCCACCGTTCCCTCAGTGTTATGATGCAATGAGACTAATAGGTGATGCTAAGTATTATTTACTCGGCAACACAGTAACTGTCATTATTCTACCAAAAATATCAAATACATAAACAGCTGTTTATAATCTTAATGAAATAATTGTGACAACAAAATTCACTTCGCTTTCATGACCATCTTTCACACCCTTCTTACATGTAACATAAACCCAACTAAACTTTAACAGTCACATAGGTATATTCAGATGAGACAACTGAAAACAGTCACAGACCTGGTGAAGCTTAGAGATTGCCATGATGAGAGTTTCTATACAGATACAAAATATACCCAACCTCCCAGAATTACAAGGTGAAGGGAAAAAAATCTCATTTATATAGATGACTCTTATACTACCCATCAAGAGTTAAGACTCACTTAAAGCACTCAGTATATGTCATGTACATATCTATGGTTACATCAAAGATGAATTTCACCACTAACTTGGGGGAACCCACTGCAAACCTTATGCAGATGGATTGCAGGAGGATCATGCATCAAACTGCTGAACAGCATGTGCCAATATTGTGCATGTGAACAGCTGCGTTTGGGGTCAAGTTTTGTTAAGAATTTGTCAATTTTCACTGAGTTTCATCATTTATAGTACTCATGACAATCTTTTCAAGGTTACAAATTTGTTTTAAAATACATCAGTTCATGTGTATACAGTACCTTTAAACAGAATGGAATATTTTGCAAAATCTAGTTTAGAACAGTTGACTGAAGTAAGTAGCTACAGTTACACTAGTGAGTCTAAACTTTTGATGGGTAGTATATTATCAGTTTTAAGGAAAAATCATGTTTTACGTCACATTTAGCAATATTCCAGCAACATCATGGCAGGGACACAGAAATGGGCTTCACACATTGTACCCATGTGAGTCATGATGAGTGAATGCTTTAACCATTTTAAACAATATTTGTATTTTAATAACATATTTCAACTTTGCATCCAAGCACAAAGGCCTCTTCCTTTCCACTGAACCTGTCATCAGGGAAATAGAAGTAATATTTGAGAAAGCCGTAACATTAATCATGATATATTCCAACTAGGAAATGGGTGAGTTAGTTTAGTTGTATTCTGCTGTTAGGCACATTACAGCAATATGGCCCTGAACAATAGGGAAATAAAGGCTCGATTTAGTGTTTCGATACTTGCCCTGTTGCAACCCAATATCACTAAGTGCAACCTAGTTATTAGATGAACTTGCACCAGGTCCAACTCATTTTTTGACTGGGTAAACTCTGAATAAAACATCTAAATTCAATAGCATATTTCTTACATTACATATTGCAACAAAAGCAGTGCAACTGTAATTTGGCTGGTGCAACTAGGTTTTTATCTTAGGTTGCACCTGGTGCAAGTAGGTTAACATATCCTAAATCGACCCCTGGAAATGGGTGTCACCCATTTAGGAAATTAGAGCGAATATTTGCTGCTGATTTGGGGCCAACTATGGACACCCAAGTAGATCTAGATAAATCCCTGTAGCTCTTTAATACACATGATTAAGTCAAACCCCCTCAGCACAGTTCATGATGATGATGCATTAAAATCAAGAAATGACAGACAAGTAATGGCTTGAAGAATGACATGCCCCGACACATGGCTTGAAGAATGACACTCCCCTACACATGGCTTGAAGAATGACACTCCCCTACACATGGCTTGAAGAATGGCATACTCAAGCACATGACTTGAGTGAGTTGGGTTTCACGCCGCTTTTAGCAATATTCCAATAATATCACGGCTTGAAACTCATGGCTTGAAGAATGACACGCCCCTACACAAGGCTTGAAGAATGACATGCCCCGACACATGGCTTGAAGAATGACATGCCCCGACACATGGCTTGAAGAATGACACTCCCCTACACATGGCTTGAAGAATGACACTCCCCTACACATGGCTTGAAGAATGGCATACTCAAGCACATGACTTGAGTGAGTTGGGTTTCACGCCGCTTTTAGCAATATTCCAATAATATCACGGCTTGAAACTCATGGCTTGAAGAATGACACGCCCCTACACAAGGCTTGAAAAATGACACGCCCCTACACAAGGCTTGAAAAATGACACGCCCCTACACAAGGCTTGAAGAATGACACGCCCCTACACATGGCTTGAAGAATGACACGCCCGTACACATGGCTTGAAGAATGACACGCCCCTACACTTGGCATGTCGGCAATCTTCATCAGAATCTATACTCATTTCATTGTAATGATGAAGGTTTGAACAGTTTCTTCATCCTCAGCTTGGAGATGTCAAATGTCCTCATCACACTACATCCCGACTTTGCCAGGTGTATTGTTTACTTCTTTGGTGCTCTGCAAGAAACAAACATAAAATTAGTTATAAAACATCAGAACAACTCTTTGACAAATTTTGACAACAACTTACAAAGTGCTGACAGAAGAGGATATTTCATTCAATAATAATTCCTACAGCACTGAAAATGGTTGATGATTAATATAGCATAATAATTAGTGAGTGATTTAGGCATCATATCGTTTTGAAAAGTAATTGTGTTATGTGGGAGAAATAAAAAGTAAAGCAAGCCTCAGACGTTTACAGCTTTTAGCAATATCATGGCAGGGGACACCAGAAATGGACTTCACACATTGTATCCAAGAGGGGAATCGAACCCAGGTTTTCGGTGTGGCGAACAAACGCTTTAACCACTAGGCTCCCCCATGCTGAACAGTATCACTGACCTATAACAGCCTACAACCACAGCATGGTCACGCTCGTATGGTTCCAACGTCAACTGTTCCTGGGGCTTTATCTTCTCAGTCTTCAGTTTGTTAACCTCCCCTGCGAACACGGCCTCGGGTTCGGCTGTCGAGTCGATGCAGTTTGCCTGAAACATGAAGTGCATTGGACTGAGTGAGTAATAGTCTGTTGTCATGGAAATGTAACAAGATTACAATTTCAAATATATTTGGATATTTAGTGTAAATAATCAATTTTATGAATGGCAAACCTGTGGCTGATGTCATAAGCACGATTGTTGTTCTGTACTTGACTTCTCATTTCAATAAACACAGGAAACATGCTTGGTTCCTTCCTTTAATCACGGAGTTACTGGGGAGGTGAAATTGGGTTTAACGTCGTGCTGAGAATATTTCGCTCATATGACGATGTGCATGCGTGTGTATGTGTATGTGCGGCTGCTTTTGTACTAGCCCAGACTTAAGCTGGTTTTATAGTGCTAGCCCACTGAGATACCACGCTGCAGTGAAGCATGAATACCCCACTCAGACACAGTATACTGACTCCGAGCCGACCAGTCCTTGTTGTACCCATTAATGCCGAGTGCCAGGCAGGGACCAACAAGTACCATATTTTAACGTCGTTTGGTATGATGCGGTCGGGGATCGAACCCGCGACCTTCCGCTCTAACCACTACACCACGGAGGCGGTCTCACGTAGTTACAGAAGTGAGGTACCTTGCACATGACGTCATCATGTGATGTAATGATAACACATGCTCATTGGTGTGGATGTAGATGACGTAACACTTCTTTCATACAGATCCCCTAATTTGTGCTAGCAGTAGCAGCCTATACTCAACCATTCTGTGCTCTTACCTAACCTTTAATACTAGCAGCCTATGATCATTAGCTCTAGAACTTTTGTTGTGAAACCATGTTCATCTCAGGGATCAATTCCTGATCTCACAAGCAGCATAAGTTCATTGGGATTTACTCTAACCCAGTGTTTGTTATATAAACAGTAATAGTGAGTGAGTGAGTTTAGTTTTATGTCACTTTTACTAATATTCCAGCAATTTCATGGCGGGGACACCAGAAATGGCAATCACACATTGCACCCACATGGGGAATCAATCCCCGGGTCTTTGACGTGATGAGTGCATCGCAAGGCTACCCCACCACCCCTTATAAACAATAACAACCCACAACACAGGTAATAACACTACTTATTATCCACATGGTGAAACACAATCGGCGTCAAATATATCACATGTGCACATATCACTTTTGCCTAGCGACCATTGTTTCTATATTTCATCGTCTGTGACCTTAATAAACAATTGAACTTGACGTCACTGAACAGGGCATTCACACTTACTTACTGTGCTTTACTTCACAAACGTACATGAATAAAATGGATAATAAAGAAATTATTATGCTCGCAAGTGTGCCACACGACTTACACGAAACTCTTGCAAAATTGTGTATTGCCCTCGCTCTCGCAATACAAACTTTCACACTCGCTCCATGTATGTTATATGACACACTTGCTTGTGTAACAAGTGTAGAAGTGAGCACAGCTCACATATCCCCGCTTCCCACTTTGGGACATGGAAATGACTGATATTGATATATATAATGTGACAAGAATCAGCAGCTCACAAGACTTTCTCCTTGACTCTACTAAACTTTATATACTTGTTAGATAATAGTTTTGCCATGTACTGATTACAGTAATAATTTATGGAAACATTATTTTTTTGTGTTTTCCGTGGAAACCTGACATACAATTGAACTTGACTGTCTCATGTTGCACACAATGAAGTGGACGTAGATGAAGATTGCTATTTTTTAGCACATGGCATATCCCATGGAAACAGCAATAAAACAAAATTATGAAAAAAAATTAAAATGGCAAAAGGCACATCAATGGGTAATGATTAACATGTGTGTGAAGTTTGGTGAACGTAGCATGTAAACTTTAAGAGATATGCTTTGGACAAAGTTTTTGGGACGGACGGAATGAACGCTATATACCCCCGTTACTTCGTAGCGGGGGTATAATAATCTCTAGATATGTTCGACAGTGCATGGTTTAAACAAAAGGTCTCACCTTCACGCTGATAACTACGTGCCCACCATTCTTCAGGAACATGTGAGCGTTGATGGCGACAATTCTGGCTTGATCTGGCTGGGCAACATCTGCGAAGATTGTGTCCACCATACCTAAAAGAGAGGCCTCGTTCTTACAAGTTGTCATGATATCTGTAACCCAGAGCCCTTACAACTCGACTTATGAAAAGTGGAAGTTGAATGGTATGGCAGTTATATATGATGTCAGCCATTGATGTGGTCTTGAGTGATGCAGGCCTCCGAGATGAATGTTGCACGAAGCATTACTCCTCCATATTATGATGTGCATTCACGTGTATGTGCTTGTATGCAGTAATGCTGTTTTTCTTAGTGATAGTAGTAGGGGTGGGTATTGCAGAGAATTTTCATTTTGCGATATATTGCAATGCGAAAGCATGTATTGCGATATGTATTGCAATATATTGCATGAAGTATTTTTAAACAAAAAACTACTTATAATCGAGTTAATTCTTGATTAATAGAGCAAAAACACAACAAAATCACTACGCCGATTAAGCTTTAATAACAACTTTTAATCATGATAAAATAAAAATATGAATAATATTTGGCACAAATGAAACAAGGAGATATCCGAAGATTTCCGAGTGTTACAAAGTTATCCGAATGGAAGTGAAAATACCGGTTTTCGATCAGCGTATCGCAATACGTATTGTTTTCATGTCTGAACCGGTTATATTGCGCAGCCCTAGATAGTAGACTAACATATGCGGAGCTAATATTCTTTTTTTTTTTTGCTTCATACAGCCAAAGACAAGGTATTGCCACGGTATTGTTGGTTTGTTGTTGAACGCTGCACACAGCAACTTTCCAGCTATACGAGGGTTGTCTGTAAATATTCAAGTCTGGACCACACAATCCAGTGATTGACATTACCAGCAGTGATCTACGCTATTGGGATACAATGACATGTGTCAACCAAGTAAGCCAGCCTAAACACCCGATCTGTTCGTCGCCTCTTACAAGCATTGGTTGCTGAAGACCAATTCTAACACGGATCTTCCTAGGTCTCCTAGTAACTCTACCAGTAAGGACTACAACTCTCACACAGACGCCATACTACAGGTTAACATGGCTACACAGTACACCAACTCTGCTCACCAGTCCTTGTTTTAATATCTTAGTACCGAGTGTCAAGCAGGGTAACGAGTGCCATTTCTTAACATCTTTAGTATGATGCAGTCAGGAATCGTATCCCCAACATTCTGCTTTCTTAGATGTTTACAAACATCACTGCCACTTTGATAACACCCAAAGATAACCCACAATCATGACATCATGGCTTGTCAAAGGGATACAACTCTGTACATCAAGATTTGGCGTGGGAGGACAGCAACTCGTGCTCCTTCATGGAGGCACCTGCTGTAAGTACTACCACTAACCAGCCTGCATCCTGTACTTATGGGGAGGACTGCAGCACAAGATCTATCAGTGGGCACCTGCTTTAAGTATTAACACTCACCAACAAGCATCCTGTACTTATGGGGAGGACTGCAGCACAAGATCTATCAGTGGGCACCTGCTTTAAGTATTAACACTCACCAACAAGCATCCTGTACTTATGGGGAGGACAGCAACTCATGCTCCTTCATGGGGGCACCTGCTGTAAGTACTACCACTAACCAGCCTGCATCCTGTACTTATGGGGATGACTGCAGCACAAGATCTATCAGTGGGCACCTGCTTTAAGTATTAACACTCACCAACAAGCATCCTGTACTTATGGGGAGGACTGCAGCACAAGATCTATCAGTGGGCACCTGCTTTAAGTATTAACACTCACCAACAAGCATCCTGTACTTATAGGGAGGACTGCAGCACAAGATCTATCAGTGGGCACCTGCTTTAAGTATTAACACTCACCAACAAGCATCCTGTATCCTGTACTTATGGGGAGGACTGCAGCACAAGATCTATCAGTGGGCACCTGCTTTAAGTATTAACACTCACCAACAAGCATCCTGTACTTATGGGAGGACTGCAGCACAAGATCTATCAGTGGGCACCTGCTTTAAGTATTAACACTCACCAACAAGCATCCTGTACTTATGGGGAGGACTGCAGCACAAGATCTATCAGTGGGCACCTGCTTTAAGTATTAACACTCACCAACAAGCATCCTGTACTTATGGGGAGGACAGCAACTCATGCTCCTTCATGGGGGCACCTGCTGTAAGTACTACCACTAACCAGCCTGCATCCTGTACTTATGGGGATGACTGCAGCACAAGATCTATCAGTGGGCACCTGCTTTAAGTATTAACACTCACCAACAAGCATCCTGTACTTTTGGGGAGGACAGCAACTCATGCTCCTTCATGGGGGCACCTGCTGTAAGTACTACCACTAACCAGCCTGCATCCTGTACTTATGGGGATGACTGCAGCACAATGTTTTTCAGGGGGCACCTGCTTTAAGTATTAACACTCACCAACAAGCATCCTGTACTTATGGGGATGACGTGCATCCTCTATGATTGGGATGATATTAGGCCTCTTCTTGGCGACATTGATGAGGTCGCGGCCACTTCGATGTGAGAATTCTACAGCATACACTAAACCCTCCTGAAACAGAGAACAATACAGTTGTACTTTGTGAAACCCAAATTCCATGCATGATTGTAGGATTACGAGCACAAAGGGGCTAAGACTGGTGGCAGTGGCAGTACAGTAAGCTTAGCACAAAGGCTTACTGCTGTAGGGAGCTTAAAAAAATCCACTTAATATTACTGTCAATACTTTCAGGTCTATGAATACAGACTTCCCTTATCCTACAATACGTCCACTCAAAGCAACTGTTTACTTCCAGGTACTACAATGTCTAGCAGAGTAGCCTCCCTTGTCCCACCATAAATCCAACCAACACCATTGTTGTTACGCAAGGTTTCAGAATGTTGCCTCCCTTGTCCAACTAAAAATCCACTAAATATAAACTGCCAAAACTCACAGGTCCCACAATGTCGGACACATGGCTGACTGTCGTTCCTGAAGCTGCACCAAGATACAAAACTTTGGCCCCAGGTTTCATATGAATTTTCTCCACACCACCCAAGATGGCTGCAGCCAACTTCGACCTGAAGGGATTCCAGGCTCTGTACTCAATCTTCGTCTCCCCTTCCTGTCACAAACAAAAACAAGAGAATATTGGAGGTGAGGTGAGGTGAAATTGGGTTTAACGTCGTGCTTGAGAATATTTCGCTCATACGACGACGTGCATGCGTGTGTATGTGTATGTACGGTTGCTTGTACTAGCCCAGACTGAAGCTGGTTTTATAGTGCTAGCCCACTGAGCTACCATGCCGCAGTGAAGCATGAATATCCCACTCAGACACATTATACTGACTCCGAGCCGACCAGTCCTTGTTGTACCCATTAATGCCGAGCGCCAGGCAGGGACCAACAAGTACCATATTTTAATGTCTTATGGTATGACGCGGTCGGGGATCGAACCCGCGACCTTCTGCTCTCCCGGGCGGACGCTCTAACCACTACACCACGGAGGCGGTCAGAGAATATTGGAAAACATACAATCACAACTGGTGGCTACAGATGGAGTATGGTTTAACACTACCTGGAACAGTATTTCAGTTATACAAAGCCCAAACTAATGCACCAAGAAACAAACATGGCAAACCAAAACCTGGCTTGCTCAAGGGATGCAACTCTGCACACAGATATACTGCAACTTAGATAACTGGCACCTGTTAAGGTGCCCCATTGTAAAGATAAATACTGATGTACTACTATTAGATGAGCCACAACCTGACAAATGACCCCAATTTGCACATACGGGAACGCCCTCCAGAACATCCCATATGAAAAATGAGGGAAACAGGTTGTCGTCTAAAACTTGAAAAGTTAAATTTCCTCGTGCAAATCGTGTTTTGATTGTTATATCATACTAAGTATGTGTACAATTTGCCCATGCTTCCCTAACTTGGACATGTTAAATTAATTAAAATCTGCAAACATTAAGAAATTGACTCGTGTTGAGATGGTGTCTTGCTGAACTAAATTGCTCTACGGGACACGTGTTAAACAGAAGCGGTGTTGAGTTCACGCCACGGTCAGCATGTATTGCACGTGCTTAATCGCCAATCTACCTGTAGCAACCAAGTGTATTCGTTTACATTCTCCGCCCCGCCTACTTGTCACAAACGTGTGTACTACGCTGACTCATCTCATACGAGTCAAGCAGTAGTGTAGCTTGTTTATTCTTAGAAATGTCATGATGTTGTATATCACACATGGAGGTAACAGTACTCCATGCATGAGGTCTGTGCAATTTATACTAAGGTTTGTCTAGTGTTTTCAACTGACATTTTAAAAGTATTTTAGTTGGATTATTAGCCAGTGTCAGTATTTTTTTTCATACTGTAGGATTTAGATTACTTTAATCGGAGGACCTTTATTGTTCAAGATTTTGGTACAATGAATATTGTTTTTGCATCCCTTCTTTGAATTTGTGCGAGTGAATGCAGAATAACTGCATCGTTGAGAAGAACACCTTTCAGATTGTAGCTCTACGTCAATGGAGAAGTTTTGAACATGCAAGAAGGCTATGATGTGCTACATACCTCAACACTGATCTTCTTCTCCCCGTACACAGTCTCACCAGGTGTGAGGTTGAGTGTCACCAAAGCATCCTCCTTTCCTCTTGCGATAAAGACACCTACATAGATATTCAATAAACATGTTGACTTATGTTCATAGCCAGTGGAGGTTCGATTAATTGAAATAATCAAAGATTGGTCGCACTGACTAGACGACCAAGCAATTGAACATGTTTTCTCATAATCGAACACAAACAATTTCGGAACACTTGTTTGCATTAACAATATTTTTCACCAGGTTGTCATTAAATTTACATTTCATAAGCACTACGTTCCAAGTCATGATTGAATTTATCTAAAAAAACTCAGGAAAATTATGTTCCTAACATACTAGTCCTCCTTTATAGATGTGACATTTGCAAATGCATTTTGTACAATTTGAAAAAACCAACCTCAAAGAACATGTTTTTTCTTTATTTTATTGTGCATTCACAAAGATAACAGGAACATTTGACAAATGATGCTAACCAATTATTTTTGATGATTGAGCGGTTGTAATGGACCAATCATCAATTATGAGATTTTAACCAATTCTATTCATAGCAAACCAACAATAGTGACAAGCCAAAAAATGTGCACTAATACTGACACCCAACTTCAGCTGTACAACATTACATTATACTTTGTACAGTATAATGATTATTCTTGACAAAAGTATAACATCTGCACATATTGCAATGACATTATTTCTAAGGCCAAATAAAAAAAATTGTTGTGGTTTCGATTACACCTCTTTAAAGATCACATATACTCTAGGGGGGTACAAATACATAAATCACTAATTGGCACAGTGCACAATTCTCACCCGCGAACAAAATTTCAACCAATCAGAGTGGCGCGTCTCTGTGATGTCATATGAGGAATAGATAGGAGGGCTGATGCAGAATTCATGTACATTTCAGGGTGTAAATTATCTTGTTTACAAGTTTGCATAAACCTGAAATCGTGACAACTGTTGTGAAAAATGAAAGCTATATGTTCTCACAATATACTGTCATTTAATTTTGTCTCCTGCTTTGCCTAGTTTCCGAGTTACAACTTGTTTTCATAGACGATTCTGTCAAAATCGCTTGGTGTTGCTAGGCCTCATTTGTTCGAGCCAGACGCTAGTGATAGTGAAAACGATGATCAGCCTCGCTCATCACGGTTACGGTTAATTTCTTCAACCTAAACAGTGTGACATTAAGAAGGGTGGATGCCCATCAGATGCAGTTATTTGGAAATATCCCCGGTAGTTCTTGCCTGATTGTAATTAAGTATCAAAGCAGTGTGGGCTTTTTCAGGTTTTCTAATGCCTGGATGGTATAATGACTGATCCAAATTGATCCCATTTCTGTGTTTTTTTACCTCCATATTTAATCATGTCATGTAAAAATATGACGTCTATTACGCATGATATTAAAAATTGACATTTGATTTATTTGAATCCATAAACCAAACAACCCTACTTTGCCATTGCTAGAAGAATCTGAAAATTTACTTAGGTAAATAGGTACATACTGTTTTAGCACACAGCAAATGCTCATATGTATTTCTTATGCAACAATGAAGTTCTGTTCATATTCTCCAAACAGTGTCGGCCCATAAGTTTTCACACGCAATTAAAATTGCATGCAATACAGCAATTAATAGTCCGTTGTTGTAACCCGTGTTAGGTGGTATAAACCTACACACTTCTTATTTGTCATTATTCACTCGATGGTCAGTTAATGAAATTATAACACAGAGCTCCAGAAAAGATTTAGCTCACGTGGTTACTGTACCCACTGTATTTTTTTGGAGTGGGCATTGTGAATTTTGAGTGGGTATTTCACTTTCCGTTACCCACTGCTTTCAAATATGTGCATATTTCACATATTTCAGTCATTTTACTCACCTAAGTATTATGTCATTGAGTAAGTTTACTAAGCAGGTATGTTCTGCCTTATGTTATACCGAAGCAAAACCAACTTAAATATAATGGAAATGATTTCATAAAAAATCACTCATCCTATACTAACAGTACAACTTGCATAGCACTCAATGTCTTTTTCATTTAGCAAGCGATTTTTATAAATATATTCCGTACGCATTTGTTTTAAATATTTTGCGTATCTGACATTTTAAATGCGTAATTAGTACGCCAACAATTAATTTTCAATGCGTAATTGGAAATTTTCTATGCGAATTTTACCCGGATATGCAGCTTATCTGGGCCTCTGATAACAGGTATAATTAGAGGCAACATCACTTAGATTACCTGACAAAGGATCCCATTTGGCATTTTTTGTGTCTGGAGTAAATACTCAAGATTATAAACATCGATCAAAGGATTAACCGATAACACGCTGATTGATTTATTACTTTTATCTTGCAAAGCGGATTTGTCAAAAGGTAGTGTTTATGTATGTAGATTTACTAATCTAAACTGAATACACCGTGTCGTGTCTGTGTAAAAACAACGTCCTTCTTTCAAAGGATTAACCGCCAATACATTGATTGATTGCTCATTATTGGCTAACTAAATTACTTTTTTCTTAAAGAATGAGGGACATTATGCAATTAGTTGCCAGGTGTGCTATCTTGGGTGACCAATGAGACTATACACCAATGTGAAATACCTGAAACAATATTATCACTTTTTCGTAATAGTTAAAAGAGTACCAAAAAAAAGAAGAAGTTTATTTGTTCTTTATATTTTAGGGAAGGTAGGTAGGAATTTTTCTTTTCTAGCCATCATGTTGACTTTCTCTATCAGAATGACCAATATCTGTCGGTGCCGGGAGAAAACAATGGTATCTGAAAACTTATTCTATTCAGTCAGCTGAAAAAATTAGGTTGGGCACCAGAATTCAAGGGTTGATCGGGTAATCGGAACCACAACATTTTTTTAGGCCTAACCTGGAATCGTGTTTTCTTTATACCAGTGTATGTTTATTAAACATGAGGTTGGGTCAAGTTGGACGGTGATATTTTACAGGACCAAAGATTATACTGGACCAAAGATTGACTGACTAATCACAGAGTGATTGAGTGAGTTTAGTTTTACGCCGCACTCAGCAATATCCCAGCTATATGGCGGCGGTCTGTAAATAATCGAGTCTGGACCAGACAATCCAGTGATCAGCATCAGCATCGATCTGCGCAATTGGGAACCGATGGCATGTGTCAACCAAGTCAGCTAAACTGACCACCCGATCCCGTTAGTCGCCTCTTACGACAAGCATAGTCGCCTTTTATGGCAAGCACATGGGTTGCTGAAGACCTATTCTACCCCGGATCTTCATGGGTCACTAATCACAGAACAGACTTAAGTTTGACAGAATTTAAACAAACCATACAACTTGTTGAATACATGGTTCATACAACAAAATCTTTGAAGAATTGACGAAACTGCGCAATCCGTCATTGAGAAACCGGATTGTGTGCAACCGATACTTTATGGGATGATTCACTATCACTTGCCAGATTCCCACTTGAGCTGAATTCACTGTTGTTGACCAACTAGGGTTCCAGCGAAGCACATCCGTCTCAGCAAGTCAGTAAGTCCTACACTGCTTCAGCACTATTCCAGCAATATTGTGGAGACCCCCCAAATAGGCTTCACACATTGTACCAATGTGGGGAATCAAACCCGGGTCTTCAGCATGAGCTAATGCTTTAACCACTAGGCTACCCCACGTCTCCTGTCTCAGTGAGTGAGTGAGTCTAGTTTTAGGCCGCCCTCAGCAATATTCCAGCAATATGGCGGCGTTCAGTAAAGGAGATGATAGGCAACCTCACATATAATATGCAGGGCTTGATTTAGTGCTTTGTTACTTGCACTGGTGCAACCCAATATTACAAAGTGCAACCTAGTTATTAGTCTAACTTGCACCAGGTGCAAGTCAATTTTTGAGTGGGTAAACTTCTGAATAGAATATCTAAATAATTCAATAGCATATTTCTGATGTTACATATTGCAATAAAAACAGTGTAACTGGAATTTGACTGGTGCAACTAGGTTTATATCAAAGGTTGCACCTGGTGCAAGTGATTTAACATCTCTTAAATCGAGCCCTGATATGTCGGACATCTCTGACTGGTAAATGTTTTCAAGCAGAATAAGTAGATCACTGACCTTCATGTCTGTGAGGCTCCACGACAACCTTCCTCCCTCCTCGCATGCCTCCACGGCCTCCTGTAGAAGATGAAGTGTTACCATGGTTACAGTCAACATGAACAATTCATTTGGTACAAGCACCACTAGACAGCTCCAACCTGATTAATTTTACTGGCATCCATTAGGAAGTTGTTTTTTTAATTAAATTAATGGATAGTCAGGATGCTGCTATCATCGTCCCAGATTAGCTGATGATTTTTGAATTTTAGAAAATATTCTACATATTTTCAAATTACATACAAATTACATATTACCCAATAGGTAATATTCTAGGATTTCAAACTAAGTTGTCACTGCAGACAAAAGATGGTGTCTTGTCAAAACTTACTTATGCACCAAGTTCCTATTCTCTGACTTCCAAGGCAATTTTATAAGGCATTAAAAATAATAATATAAAATTAAGCATGACAGCCTATTCACCCTCTACTGGTCATACAATTGGTAAAATACAAATCTCAAACCAAAATACCGCATTGATTTTATGTAGAAGGGGCAAGAAGTAGCCCAGGCATGTCGTGTTATACAATGAACAAGAAGTTGCCATCCATATACTCGTCTTATATAGATCTTATGTATTGTATCAACATAAATTGGGACATGTTTACCGATGCTTGCTCTGAGAAGGTCTAGATAAATCACTATACAACCACACAAACCTAACTGTGAGTATGATAACTCCAAAGGTGAACAATTTTAATGACTTCACTATGTTACTTGGACATATTATGATCAGACAATCATTACTGTTAATATAAAACTATTTCAATACGCTGCTTCTATACCATACCTCTGCCTCCTCGACCTGCAAAGAGAAACAACACCATGATTACAGCACAGCAGCTCAGTAATGATACGAATTACGATACATACAAGAAAGCTCTAAGGTGTAAGGAAAATATTTTGGTAGGCAGCCTTCAAATATGTTAAATACATCTGTCAAGAATGATGTGATTCAAATGGATCTATTGATCAGTTCTAACCCTGATCTTCCAATGTACAAAAAAACCGAAGAAACATATTTGTATGTCAATTGCAACAAATAAACTGTCATCTCTTACCGCCAAATCCTCCTCTACCACCGCCGCCACGGAAGCCACGTGAATCGCCGCGTCCTCCACGGAAACCACCCCGTCCACCTCGTCCTCCTCTGTCTCCAAACCCACCACGCCCTCCTCTGTCACCACCTCGTCCCCCTCTGAACCCTCCCCGTCCACGGAAACCACCCCGGTCTCCTCGAGGAGAAAATCCTGCAAAAGAACATTTATTCAAACTGCACAAAACTATTTGTAAAAACATCTTTTAATGTCAGAAACATAAGTCAACATATTGAACGATTTTAGAATGCCTGTGATTTCCAGAGAAGAGCATTACAGTGCCATGATTCTGACCATTGTTTTCAGCTGTTAACCATGGCTTTATTCAGTGAGAGAAGTTTCTGCTCCATTGCTTACACCTGCCTTGGTACATGAAAGGTTTCATAACACTGAGGCATTCCTATGGCAATCTAGGCAAACACCAGCTTCTAAGCCAATCAAGTATTTCGTTACTTATCTGTAAGAAAAACACAAAACTTCCTGTTCATTTGCCATTAGTACTATAAGACCCTATAATAAGTACTATAAAACAGTGACAATATATACCTTGATGGCAGTTTTTAGCGGTACAAGGCCGTGTGTTTTATTAAAACAAGTAAATACAGCATAAAAAACAATATTGCTATTTTCGACCCTTGGTAACTAATTAATCAGTAATATACACTCAGAAACAACTTTGATAGGTAAAAGTACGATACTACATATCAGAGAGAATTGATATGCCTCGTGGCTTGCCAAAAGCGAATTTGGAAGCCCCAAACAATTTTATTCAACCATGATGACTCAAAACTTCACCCGTAAAGTTGGTTACGAATTGAACTAAAAACAGTAATCGGCTCTAATAGTCCGCTCAACAAGTTGTAATATTACATTGTGAGTAGTCTCATAATTTCATGAGGGGAAAACAATCACAGTCTATTTAAACCCTCCATGCGTGATCTAGACATCTGCAGCTGTAGAAACGTGGTACTTAGTTTTGTCTTTATTGTAGCAAGTGCAACATAACACGCAACTATTGCGACAGCGTAGGAATCATGTTATGTTGCTTGAATCAAAACTACACAAGCAGGGACAAATACATACCTGGTCGTCCCATAATTGCTCAAGTTGCTTGTTGAAATGAAATGCTTCGACCACGTGCGTGTGTTGATTTGGAAATATCCCGTCGTGCAATTTACTTCCGACAAAGACCGATAACTCTTCCTGAAACACACCGCCCGAATATCATGTATGGCTCCGTGGGACAGTTTTAGATTAAATATCTTAGCATCTGAAAAATACGATGTAATTTAGGAATGCTCTCAAATGACATATACAGATTTAGTTCTGAATTTAAATCATGTCAACGTTCTGTCATATTGATCAGCTGCTTTTTTAATGATTAGTTCTTGTTTCAGAAATGGAAGTGCATGTGCACTTATGGTTTTAATCCCTAACATGAAGCAGAGGTTATGCTTACATCTTTTCCATTTTCCCATAATTAATTACATATTTATACGTGTATCCAACTGAATATTTGTAATGCTGACGTCTCTTTTATGCAATCTAAATGATTCTTTAATACCTTGTGATTCATGTTAGTCAAGTCAATGTGTCGGGCGCAAATAGGCCTCTTATTGGCCCACGTCGCCCTAAAACTATAACACCGCCACCAATCACCTTAAATGATTTCGCATCTTGTGGAATGCGGTTCGTACATTTTGTGTGCTTTTATAGGTTTCTCCTTACCGATTCTCATGCCAAAAATAGAGATTCTTAAATAATTCTTTTGTCATCACGAGGAAAGTCTGTGCAGCCGATTTCTGGTGGCCGTCGCCTAGATATGTCTACAATGTGATTTAAACATATTTTTATTCATGAAGATGAATTGGGATTGTTGAACAAGCATTACTGCTTATATTAACACCGCTCCCATGCAACATATAATACAACATGAAAATGGAGGATTTGACGTCATGTCTACAATATAGTGGTAAGAGCGGCATAAAAACACATTCAGTCAGTCGTTATTTGGGATAGTCAAACCCAATGGCAATCTTAAATGAGTGTTACCTCACTCTCGCATTGTTTTGCTTGTTAGTTATCCGTACATTACCAGGTTCAGCATTATCTACTGCGTTTTGTATGATAGAATATAGAGTCTGAACCAAACAATCCAGTGATCGACATTTTGAGCATCAAAGTACGCATTTGGGATACGATGACATGTGTCAACCAAGTAGGTGAGCCTGACCATCCGATCCCGTTAGTCGCCTCTTACGACAAGCATGGGTTACTGAAGATCAACTCTAATATGATCCAAACGGGGCCGATCGCATTTAATTCCACTGCCGTTGCTGTTCTAGCCTTGAGGCTGTATACTAAACGCTAAACCCATGGATGTATAGTAATTATATCTTGGTAAAGCCCCCCCACCCCCTACTTTTTTGAAGACGAAACCATATCTACCTTACCACAACTACAATTTCATTTTGATTTTCAATACTTTTCATAAATTAGCAACCCCAACCCCCACACACACACACACACCCGCTCTGAAAACCGTTCCTACGCCCCTGTTCAAAGAGATAAATATAGATAGGCGGACAACTTAGAGGACGCCAGTCTGTTAAATAATCTGTTTTTAAAGAAATTTTCATTTAAACTATTAATCACTACCTTAAAGACTTGTGAAAGTCTATTGCTATACAGCACGGTGAAAACAAGGGGGTGAAAATGCTTAGTTTTAATCTGCTCTCAACAATACTCCAGCAATATCACAGCGGGGGAACACCAGAAATGGGCTTCATACATTAATTGTACCCATGTGGGGAATCGAACCCGGGTGACGAGCTAACGCTTTAATCACCAGACTACCCCATCGCCCCCATTGCAAAAGGGGTAGGGGTGGTGGGTTGGGGTTGGTAGCCTAGTGGTTAAAGCGTTGGCTCGTCACACCGAAGACCCAGGTTCGATTCCCCACATGGGTACTATGTGTGAAGCCCATTTCTGGTGTCCCCTGCCGTGATATTGCTGGAATACTGCTAAATACGGCGTGAAACTAAACTCACTCACCCCATTGCAAGGGAAGCAAACTGCACGGGAATCTTGCGACTATATCTTATGTTGTTTTAAGTAAAAACACGTGATTGATTTATGTAGTCTTCTTTGATGGGCATTTTAGAAGCTGAGTTGATGAAGAATAATGACAATTATTATGGATATTCAACTTCTTTTATTCTGTGGAGGCGACGTTTCGACATAGGTTCTAATGTCGTCGTCATCACTTGCTTGACAACGACATTAGAACCTATGTTGAAACGTATTATTCTTCTTCTTGATTCATGTAGGTTTCACGGATTCCCTCTGTTTTCCAAGAAGCAACAAAGCAACATGATTACTCAATGCCATTTAAAAAGTGGTGAAATGCAACATATGTTATATTTGGGATTACACTTTCTCAGTAAAGTGCAAATTCTAGTACTTTCTAAATGGCATTGTGTAATCATAGCTTTCGGCCGTGGAAGCCCTGACAATTATACTCTTAGAGGGGTAAAAAAAGTCCGCAGTCCAGACTACCAGTTGTCCCACATCCATTTGTGGAAGTCGCGGTGACTGAGCGGGTTAGGCGGCTGACTTTGTGTGCTGGCGACTTGGTGCCTGACTCTGAGGGTGTGGGTTCGAATCCCGGATGGGACTCAACCTAAAAAAGTACTAAAATCTGTACTTTACTAAGAAAGTATCATCCCAAATATAACATGTTGAACAAAGAAACAGTCACCAAATGTGTTTATTGAAACGCCTAGCTAGAAATGCCTTCAAGGATTTAATGTCCCCGGTCCTCTGTGAATCAGTTGTTTAAACAGGGCAATGATGTCCCTTGTAGGAATAAATACTTTGGTTGAAGGATTGAATTGGGCATGTGTCACTAAAATGTCGAAATGTCTAAAAAATGTCATCGTTTTCAACAATTTCTAGTGGGTAGATCATTGACAAGACTGTCTTAAAGTTGTTGGTTGAGGTGAAGTGATCTTACGAGCGATACTATACGTAAATATGATTAAGAGTAGTGAGTGAGTTCAGTTTTACGCAGCACTCAGCAATATTCCAGCTATATATGACGGCGGTCCGTAAATAATCGAGAGTAGTATAGAGGCCTTTATGGCATAAACATCTATTTTTAGAATAGGCCTTTTATAGGTCAAAATCTATGTTTAGACCATCAGTCATGTCAACATCTGGTGTTTCTATTTTTAGATTCAGGCGGGTAATATAAGGCCCCCAAACAGTCCTCCATATCATTCTGATTTCAGTCGGACAACGTCCCTTCTCCATTCTATGCTCTTGACTCTACTGGGTCTATTGGCTGTTTACCTTGAAAATGGAAGCCTTTCAGCGTGATATTCTCAGTTGTGATAACGAGGCCCTGGTAAAACTTCCAAATCCCAGATATCATTTACATCTAGGGGACGACGTCTATGTGACAGCAAAGACATGGAATGGAGAACTAGAAATTCATGTGAGGAAGTACGAAGTTAACCGAGTGGCAAGTGCTACCCAACCAAACGAGTGCTTACCTTGAAACACTGGCTGGAAGTGTCTCGTGCTCACGTGCAGCTGAAACAGCCGGGAAGGTACTCACACGTCCATGTTGGAGGGAACATGTACGCTTCCTGGGACGACAATGGTATTGATGTGCGATAGTGGGAGAATGATCAGAAAAGTGGTAGAGTGATACCTACCAACCAATGTATTCTGTTGTCCCTAGATCAGTGGGAAAAGCTGGTAGATTGTGTAAGAGTCATGTTTGACTTTGTGCCAGAACTGAAGGACATGGTACCCTGTATGCTTCAGGACGATCATCAAAACTGGATGGGATACCTCCAGTGTTCCTTTTGCAACCCTAGAGACTACAGTCACTGGGTGTAAAGCCATTCTTGGTTTAGACGCTGTACTGTACGGACGTGTTACCACTGCTCTGGGATATCATGGATGTGTGTGTGGACATTACTCACTTGACAACACTGTCGTTGCTGATTGCTGTGCAATCAAGACTGAATGGACTTCATTCCAGAAAAGACTCGATTCGTTTAGAGACTGGCCAGTGCAGATGAAACAGAGTCCTAGTCACATGGCTCAGGCAGGATTTGTGTACTTAATCAGAGGGGACGCTTGCAAGTGTTTTCAATGTGGTCTCGTTCTCAAGAACTGGGATGTAGATGATGATCCCTGGGTCGAACATGAAAAATGGTCTCCAGACTGTCCATATTTGGCCCTGGTGGGAGTACCTCAGAAAGAGGTGGCCCGCTGGAGTAGTCATGTGGATTTGCAATCAAGAGTGTGATGTAAAATGTGTGACTATTGGAAATAAATCAATGTTAAGAGTACATCTGCCTTGGTTGTCTATGTATAGTATAAATAGAGGTTGACTCAAATACTAATCTCACTGAGATCCCAACCACGATAAGAGTTTGTTTGCTAGAAATAGTATGGCTAGGTACGCGTTGAAACATTACGAATTTTTAAGGTTCATGTTAATGTTTCAAGACATTGAGGAGATTCGACAAGACATCTTAGAAATGAACAGAGAACATATTCTTGCTGTCAACGGTATTATCAATAGGTTATTAAAGGGAAGATTACCAGTGACTCGATATGAAAGGCGTCGTTTCCTGAGGAAAAATGATAGAAATAACTATCTAGCGGTGTTACAAAGATTAGTTCACCACATGTGGACATGTGGAGTCTTTTTGCCAGTAACATGCCAATCGTAGCGTTTGTTTTGAAACCAAAGTTTGTCAATGTACTTAGAGATGAGGCCATTCAAAAATGCCTGGTTGTTAGATAGAGCACTGGCTTAGTACATCTGATACACCCGTCTTAGGTTTGTCAATCCGGGGAAAGAGCATGTATGACCATCCTGGCAGCGATGTTGAAAGCTATACCAAGCCATGAAAAGTCAATGAAGATATCTATATAACAGGCCACAAGGGCTATCTAACTTCATTTAGCCGTGGACCAGTGACAGTGACGCATCACCTCAAGCCGCTCCTGTTTTCATCATGAATAATCCACAATACAAACTCTTCGTACCTGATGCTCAGGGCTGAAGGGAAAGGAGACCCTTATCATTCTATAATACGTGGAGGAAAAAAAATCTGCTATGATGTCTGTGGATCGATATTTGGAACTGTATGATCCAGAG